ACGGAGATGCACGTGACCAGTTTTAGGTTCAACACATAGCGTGCATTTTGTAATTTAAGTTTGAATAATTCTCTGTTAAAACAGCCATTCTATGTGTTTAGCTCAGTTTGCAGAGTATGGTATATAATAAGTGCATATATTGTTAATGTTGTTGTGTGTGTGTGTAAATAATGGTGTGTTTATTTCGTAAGTAACTGTATAAGTTCCAAGAACTGAAAAAAGAGACAAAAAGTGAGAGAGAGAGAGAATATGTTACAGTTTGTATAAGCCAAATAAACAAGAAACAATTAATAAAATAAGTTTGTTAAGGGCAGAGCAATGTGTTCAATTGGATTGTTTAATTAATTAAAAGGAACACTAGACTAGATTTACATGATACAAGTTGCTCACTCTTGCAGCCTTATTCATGATAGCACTACAGAGAGTTCAAGGACACTCCAGAGTGGATTCAACATCAGTTTCATTTGTGTGCTTTTGATGAACAATGTGTATTTGTTAAGTATTGCACTTTACTAATAAAACACAGCTACCAGAAATAATGAGTCAATCTGGCCGGCTTTATTAGAAGCACCACAAGAAAGAGAAGATGTGTAATGTCATGCTTAGTGCGACCCTCTTTCAAGTGAGTGAACGCTTCATTAAGAACAGCCGGGAAACACCAGTGAAATGAAACCATTATTTTTTTACTGCTTCTTTAAAATTAGATTCATCTGTCTGGTAGTCGCAGAGGGGAGGAAGTCCGTCTCCAGCCAGGACGAGCTGCTGACCCTCAGGGATCAGGTGACATCGGGAGGAAGTGAGTGTTCCCCTCGTGCATCGCCTCAGAAATGTGTTCCCTGCTGCAGCTCCTTTACAGGGTAACGTATAAAATGCATATAATTACACATTACTCATCCTGGCATGTCGCTTTATGAGGCTTTAATTACAGTTGGAGGTTTGTACAAGTGGTGGATGAAGTGCTCAGATGTTATATGTAGTAAAAGTAATAATACCACAGTGTAGAAATACTCTAAAAGTCCTGCAAGCATTAGCAACAAAATATACTTCTGTACCAATTCTGTACTTGTTTATTATCCAAGGTGTCCATTTTCGGAATAATATATATTATATACCTGGTTTAAAATAAGTGTTGCTATAATGTGTCTATCATCTTAATTTTGCAGCTGTTAAAGGTCCCATGTCATGGCCATTTCTACTGATCATAATTCCATTGTTGAGGTCTACTAGAATACATTTATATTGTGCAATTTTCCAAACTCACATTGGTGTCTCTAACAGCATCTCTGCGTAGTATGTGTATTCACTCTCTGTCCTAAACGGCTTGTTGGAGCTCCTGCCCCCCCCCTCCCTGTGAGCCCAGTGGCCGTCTGCGAGACACAGCGAAACCCAGCCTGAAACACACACACACACACCCGCAGCCTGGCTGGGAGTTTGTGTGTGTGCCCAGGCTGAGTTCCGCGGTGTCTCGCTGACCCCACACCACTGAGCCAGCTCACAGTGTCCCGCTCCTCGCAGCAGAGAGCCTCGCAACGTCCTGCCGAGTGTGTGTGTGAGAGGAAGTCCGCGGATTGGTCCAAACGTAACGTCACTATACCCAAGAAGTAAACAATTGAAAAAGAGAATTGTCCAACGAGGCGTTCTGGGGCAGCATAGACAGGTCTTCTCTGTGTTAGAGTTTTACTTGCTGCAGGGTGTACTTTGAGGGTTTGTGACTCTGCAGACCGTGTGTTATACCGCTACATAACACACAAGGGGACGGGTAATAACCAGAAAAGCATGACATGGGCCCTTTTTAAAGGATAAGAAAACATTAAAACTGCCAGTTATCTTCATCCATTATAGCACATCATAGTTAATTGAATTTGTATTAATAATATAAACCTGCAAAAGGAACTAATGTTGTCAAATGTATGTAAAAAAAGTACATTATTTGCAGCCAAGATTTACTAGAGTCAATGTATAAAGTAGCTTAACATGGAAATACTCAAGTAAAGGTAATGTACCTCAAAATGTACTTAGGTACAGTACTTGATTAAATGTACTTTCCACCTCTGGTTTGTACATGTAGTAAAATCACAGATCATAAATAAATGTGTGTGATTTAGGGGATTTATAAAAAACAATGCCATCTTGTGGTGAAATGTACGTACTACAGTAAACCTTAGAGGACTATATGATTCATTGCAGTGACTAAAAACACACATTTATTAAAGAGTTTAAAGAATATTGGCATTAAATAAATGTATCACTGACACCTGTTTGATCTGTTCTGTAAAGTATTGTTGAAAAATATCACTCAAGCTTGAACCTCAGGATCCATGTATCTGTGATCCTCTCCAGAATGGAAGTAGTCATCACATACAGAGCATCAACTAGTTCCTGAACAGTGTCCTTCACATGCTGATATCCAAGAGAGGGAGTTCCACAGTCACAAGATGGAGGAATAGAAAGCAGTATTCAATGTTTACTTCAGATTAGCTCCACGTCAGAAATGAGCATGCTTGTCATATGTCTCTCTCCATAGAGGCTGAATCATCATGTTAATCACATAGCTATCATATGCCTCAAACAGTCCTGATGCTCTTCTAGGTAATCACACATGCTGTCATGTTCACAGCTACAGTTGGGATACCTTTGATATCATGTTACTCTCATATTGGAAGAGGACATTCAGTGTTTTCCCAACAGCATGGTACTCAAACACTGATCCTAATTCCACATTCCCTCGTCTGTCCCTACTGTAATTCTCCATTCATCCACCAGATGCCCTCACACTTCCCCTCTCCCCCCCCCAAAAAAAAACCATACACCTGTTCCCACTTCCCTCATCACTCTAGCCCCGCCCACCTGCTCACCTGCCCCTCATTCCCCAATCAGCCTCTCATCACTCGCCCTGTTTCACTCCTTCTTCTCAGACCAGAGTAGTGGAGGTCCTGCAGTGTTGACTTTTAAAACATTTTTCAAGCCCTCAATTTTGTCTGTTAAGATGCCGTAGTTAAATCTGCAAACACGTGGACACATCTTCACCAAACACTGTTGTTGAGGTATACTATTACTCTCCTTAGTGTGTGTAACCCCATGCTTCAACTACGCATGATATCATATTCACACATTTTCTCAACCACATGATCGCTAAAGTTTAAGAAATGTAGGTTTTGACTTTGATGCAGGGCTCTCAAACTTAAATATCTAATTGAATTGCAGACTGCATTATTTCTTATACAGAGCAAAACACTGAATCATAACAGAACATTGTACAATATGAACATCAGGTTTAAAGAGGCCTGTCATTGCTCATTTCAGGTTCATTTGAGTATTAAGTGTCTCTACTGGGACATGTCTCCATGCTTTAATGTTCAAAAAGCACCTATTTTCACCCTCTGTCTGAAACCAGAGCCATTATGGGCTTTACAAACTGCTCAGTGTGTTTTCTGAATTGTTTACCATGTGTGGAACAAACTATATAGGTAATCGAGTAATACAAATACCGCTACAACACTAACATCACATTTGTGCATAATGACGTATTTTATATACATTTTCTTATATTCCTTTTAACTTACAGTATG